GTATGTCAATTGCTAACCATGACCTCATTTAATAATGTCCGAAATATGTCCACCATCCACCTCAACAGCATGGTGTGTATGCAGGAGGAATTATCACAATTTGAGAATGATTGCTGTGTAGGCATCATGCTTAAGGAATCCCACAAAATATAACCACAAGGATTAATCATGCCCAGAGAGCTTTCAACTTTCAACTTTATTTTTGTCCATAACTGAAGTGAATACAATTGGACATGTCAAGAAATAATAATTAATACATCACATGTCAAGGTCACATAGAATTTACACAGTGATTTATCACTATAATGTAGCAACCATTATAAGGAACATAACAATAAAAATACAGAAGAGCATAGTGGGCAAGACCACCCTACTCCAAATTGGCCTTGGTAATGGTTAAAAATTACTTGAACAGGGAAATGAGTGTTTAAAATTTCCAGAACAATAATAGTAAGCTATATCCATGCCCCAACTTGGTGGCAAAGCATCTAAGTTAAATGACAATTCATTTCATACAGAAATGGAATAAGACTCTCTTTCATAAATGCCCTGTAGTATTCAGCATTCACATTTACGTCTTGGAATACTGGGCCCACAGTACAGACAGCAGACAAAGCATGCCAAACTGTACCCTCTACTGGATGAACAACATCAGAACAAATGGTCCTACAAGAAAAATTAAAATTCAAAAATAAAATAATCAGTACTTTAGTGAAGATCCTGTAGATATTCATTTTACAATTATCATACCACTGTCACTTTGAAGAAATTACTACATACAGAATAAAATAAGCAAAATAACTTCTTTTATTTCAATAACCAAAACTCCTTCAACACACTGTCACACTGCTAATTACTTTCATGTTCTAAGTATGTACCAAAACTGAAAGAAGGAATTTCCTTATCTGCTCTGATACAAGACAAGTCCTGGTACCCACTTTAATGAGTCTTGGGACCACCACACTTGGGGCATTTACATTTACATCTATTTTTCACTTCATGGATCCAGTCATCTCCCCATAGGGCTGGATATAAAACGTGTCACATATTAAAAATTCATGATGACTACACATCATTTGTCCTTGGTCCAATAAAATATATGATCAGGCCTCACACAGATAGCTCAATTTGTCAGGACAACACAAATAGATCGTGGATAGGCATGGATGTTTGTATTCTTTTGTCATGAACGAGGCCTTGTAATGCCTTAGTCCATCAGATAAGAAGTCCTTCCCCATGCTGGAAAGGTTCTGTGGTTGGATGGATCAGAGCACTTGTGTGTAAAAGCAGAAGAAGTTACTAATCAAGTTATGTCATCATATTCTAGGGATGTGATTAGAATAAGTTATCCAGACACACAGTTCAGGTGGTGTATTCATTGAATAGCACATTAAGTTTATAAATATGAACTACTAAATTGGAAATGGCAGTTAATTGCTATTTTTTTCTCATTGACAGTAATATCTTATCTTATCTACACATCGTAACAATGATTCTACAGCTTACTGATTTAATGACCAGCTTCTTCAAACTAGCAAGTGTATGCCCTGATAAACTTGCCAGAAAGAGCATGAGGTATGTCACAAATTCGTAGATATTTATGATGGTTTCATCAATTTCTAAATACATAAAGGTACTAGATTGTCAAATGCAACAGCAAAGAAGTTAAGAAAAGTAAGAACACTGTTACAGTTCTAGCACATTTTGTTTCTGCTAATTACCCTGAAACTTATAAGACTTGCAGAAAATGTGTACTGGACTTAAACTGTCTTGATTGAAACATTTTCTTCATTCTGAAAAATGTTAGCAAGTGACACTTGACAAGTTCACAGATACATGTGTAATTTTAGCACAAAATTTCTGTTGTCTGATTTTAACTCAACTTAGGATCTGATGAAAAAAAGGCTGTGCCATAGCTCAAGTGGTTAGTTGCTGGCTTCCCACCGCGGTACCCTGGGTTCGATCCCGGGTCTGGTCAAGTGGGATTTGTGGTGGACAAAGTGGCGCTGGGGCAGGTTTTCTCCGAGTACTTTGATTTCCCCTGCCAATCGTCATTCCACCAATTGCTCCACAATCACCTTCACCTATCTTCTGGGGCTGGTACAATAGGCAAGAAAAGGCTGCAGTACATGGGACTCAGTCCCACCCCACTAGCAATAAAAAAGAAAAATAGAATCTGATGAGAAAATTTAGTAAAACTCTCCCCATACCAAATTTCATGAAAATCTCTTAAGCAGTTGCTGAGTTTTATATGAACAGACAGACACAGACAGAGAAAGACATGGCACAGCAAATAGGTTCCTTTTTACTACCTGTTACAAATGTGTCAAAAACCAATATTAACTCCCTTAAATAGGGTCAGGATCAAATTATAACAAAATTATATTCTTCATGTGGGGGAAGCCAGGTATTCCCCCCCCCCTCTGGATCTGTGGTAAAATAAATATGGAAAAGCAGGACTTATTAATAACAGACCTTGAAATTAGTCTCTTACTTACACATGGAGCTGAGCCCTTCCAGAGGAGCCGCCAATTCTGCAGCTACTCAAGAATTTCCCAGCATTCTATGGAACACGAAGGTTCATTACCGTGTTCAGAAGAGCCCTCCACTGGTCCATATCCCGGGACAAATCTATCCAATCCATACCATCCCATCCTATCTCTCTAAGATCCATTCTAATATTGTCCACTCACCTACGCCTTGGTCTTCCCTGTGGTCTCTTTCTTTTGGTTTTCCCACCATTATCCTATACGCATTCCCTGTCTCCCCATTCGTGCTACATGACGTGCCCACCTCATCCTCCTTGACTTGATCATTCTAATTAGTCTCTAATAAATTTTATTCTTCTACCTTAAATTCTTTTTAGAGTGATCAGCAAAGATAACCTTAAAGGGCTTAGATGTAAGTTTCCCCCTTCCCCTTGGAAACAGTCATGGCAGCACCTTATGTATCTCAGTGGTGACAAATTACTTTTTGTCACTGAATCCATCAGTCTTAACCATTTCAGCAGGGAATATTCACAAGAGTTTATGTGTATAACGTATTCCTCCAGATGTGGCCTGCAGTGACAATGGGAATTACAAGAGATGTATTCTGGAAAACTACTTTGCAGAGTAGGCCCTTGACATGCATGTGCACTCCAGGCAGGGCTTATTCTCAGAGTACTCTTAAGGACATTTGCACCCAGAAATTGCATCAGATTATCTGCTCAAGGGAAAACAATTTTCCTTGCTAGAATGTTCATGGTTTTTCCAAGTAATTTCTGATATGACTTGTGTATATTACCTGGGATGGTGGCACACAACAGTATTCTGTGTGAGCACTTCTTTTGCATGAAACACAAAAATGTTATGAAAGTCAAGATCATTAGATCTCATGTGCTTCAGTTTTGGGGCAAGAAATTTGTCATTTCTTGATATCTCTCACATGTCACTATAACAATGGGGCTATTGTGTGATTCCAATGGAACACAATGCCATGCAGAGCTTGTTGACAGAACTGGCACAAAGCTGGGTTCTGGTATAACCTGTAACTTTCTGGAATGTGCATTTTCTTATACACCCAGACTGTGGACAGTATCCAGGATAAGGAAAAAAAGAGCTCACTACAAATTTTGTAGCTAATATTGATTACAAATTTTCTAAAATTGTACATGTGTTGTCAAGTATCTATTATTATTGCTCTGACATGGTTATGCTCAATGAAAATATTAACAACAGTTTTGTATATTAGTCTTGCACACAACAGTATTGTACAAAAGGCCTGCATATTTTTATTTTTTTAATATGCTTGTTAATACTGTTGTAACTGGTTACAGTTTTTATAACACCATCGTGTATACTTAGTCTGTTGGTTTCATCACATTTTAATTGTAGTATATTCAGATGAAATGATATAACAATATTATGGCTGTTCTATGAATGATGAATCAGGCCAGTATCAGTCAAGTATCAGGCTGAAAAGGATGTTATATTATGTTTGATTTGTTTAATTCTGGTCTGTCACACTAATAATATCATGAAAACTTAAACAGTTCTGTCTAGTGTGACTGGTGAAGATTTTTCTTATTTCAATTATTTATGCCCTTACATGTTTCGGTCTTCAAAGACTATCATCAGAGGGACACTTTTACATCAATAGAGTTAGAAGCCACTATTACAATACATGTTCTAAAAGTTAAAATGTATACATACAATATTAATAATATACAATTGAGTATAAAATCTAAAGTCTTTACAACTACAGTGGCTGTTCCAATATGTTAAAATATTTTTAATTGTTTTGTTAAGACTCTATTGGAATTCATAAACCAAGCAGGTTCGTGTTGTCCCTCTTATTATGCTGTGGAACCAACACTAACATCATAGACCCAAGGAGTATAAATATGCGGTACAACACACTGTAGAACAGTAAACACAACACAGCGCGCCACAAACACATACATGACAATATCAAAAGTAGGATGAAATAACAGAAGTTTTTACAAAACATAATAGGACTGCTGAAATAATACAATATACCCCTAATATATTTGCAGATCCCTCTTCTTGAGAATGACAAGGCGGCACGCATTTGGCCCCCATCAGAAGAAATGATAAGAGGGATGACACAATCCTGCTTGGTTTACAAATTCCAATAAAGTCTTAACAAACAAATTATAAATATTTTAACGTGCTGGAACAGCCACTGTAGTTGTAAAGACTTTAGATTTTATTCCCAATTGTATATTATTAATATTGTATGTATACATTTTAACTTTTAGAACATGTATTGTAATAATGGCTTCTAACTCTATTGATGTAAAGGGGTCCCTCTGAAGATAGTCTCTGAAGACCGAAACCTGTAAGGGCATAAATAATTGAAATAAGAAAAATCTTCACCAGTCACACTAGGCAGAACTGTTCAACTTTTCATGTTATATTATGTCTTTTAAAGTAGGACATATGAGATTAGCAATTCGTCTGGTATGTACAAAAAAAATGTTGTTCATTCTGTTTCAGAATGTAAAGAGTATTCAAAGCTGGTAACTGCTCAGGTTGGAGTCCTACCTCTAGTGCCAACCCCTGAGCCTGTGTATGTTGACATACCAAAGTGTGACTTTACCAGTGTGCCATTGATTGTGGGTGGTGAAGAAGCAGAGCTCAAAGAATTCCCTCACATGGTAATGGCAGGTCAATACTGAAGAGTTCTCAGTATCTAGAATTCCATTCTAGCCACTTTAACTCCTTTAACTTTGAAGTTCACCCAAAAAATATTTAAAAATTAAGTTTTTACCTCACAGAAAAAACACTGTATCTAAATTACAAAAACCAATTTGTTAATGCTGCTTAGGGAAATAATAGCAGTTTCCTTTGAGAAGTGTATATTAGGATTTCTCTTCTTCTGACATTAAAAAATTTTTCTTCAAAGTCCTAATTTTTACATGTGAAATAAAAGACAGAGTGGAGAAATTGGTCAGCATTCATCAATGAGATTATACTGTATATAACTTGAATTTATCCCACTGTAAATAATTAAAATTAATATATAATTAACAATTTATTACATGCATATATTATGTACAAACATTTCTGCAGGCAAAATACTCAGTAGTATTTTCCGTGTCACTCACTCATGGAGCCGAGCATTTCTTGAGAAGCTGCCAATTGTGCAGCTACTCAAGAGCTTCCCAGCATTTTATGGAACCCAAAGGTTCATTACCATGTTCACAAGAGCCCTCCACTGGCCCTTATCCTGATCCAGATCGATCCATTCCATACCATCCCCTCCTGTCTATCTAAGATACATTTTAATATTATCCACCCAGCTATGTTTTGGTCTTCCCAGTGGTCTCTTTCCTTCAGGCTTCCCCACAAATATCCTATATATCCTATATGAATTCCTCCTCACCCCATTCGTGCTACATGCCCTGCCCATCTCATCCTCCTTGACTTTATCATTCTAATTATACTTGGCAAAGAGTACATGTTATGGAACTCCTCATTATACAGTTTTCTCCAACCTCCCGGCATTTCATTCCTCTTTGGTTCAAATATTCTCCTCAGCACCCTGTTCTCAAACACCCTCAGTCTGTGTTCCTCCCTTAATGTCAGAGACCAAGTTTCACACCCATACAGAACCACAGGCAAAATTATAGTTTTGTATATTCTAATTTTTATGTTTCTAGACAGCAGACAAGAAGACAAAAGGTTCTGGACTGAATGGTAGCAAGCATTACCCAAATTCAATCTCCTCTTAATTTCCTCCTGAATCAGGTTTTGATTTGTTGTATTCATTCCCAAATATCTGAACTGTGCCACATTTTCAAAATATCTGTTATTCCTCTTCATGTCATGATTTTGCCCTGCATTCTGGTGACAAGACAGCAACATATACTTATGTAGCACATCCACAAAGTAAGTTTCCCACTTGTCCCACAGCTAGCAAACCCTATATTGCGTGAAGTGATTGTGCGTACGTGATAGAGCAATGACATAGCATGGCGCATGCATTAGCAGAATTTCCCGCATTCCCATAGTAGCATCATTGCAGCTGTTGAAGATGGAGGCTTTTATTCAAGCTCCCGACGACTGTGAAGTGCGGTCAGTGATAAATTTTTTGAATGCACACAGCATAGCACCGATCGAAATTCATCGTCAACTGTGCTGGGTCTATGGGTCTAACGTCATGAGCAAGCAGATGGTGTGTCACTGGTGTAGAAAATTTTCAGCAGGTCGACAAATTGTGCATGATGAGAAGCGCAGTGGGCGGCCATCCATCATTACAGACGACCTGGTGGAGCTTGTGCAGGAAGGCATTATGGAGAATCGTCGCGTCACAATTGCGGAACTCAGCAGTCATGTCCCGCAGATTTCCCACACCTTGTTGCACGAAATTGTCACGAAGCTCCTGTTGTTCAGGAAATTGTGCGCCAGGTGGGTGCCGAAGCAACTGACACCAGAACACAAAACAAAGCACATGGAGTCAGCATTGACATTTCTGCAGCGGTACCATGATGACGGCGACGAGTTGCTGGAACGGATCATCACAGGTGATGAAACGTGGATTACACACATTACCCCAGAAACCAAGCAGCAGTCAATGCATTGGCGTCCCAGTGGATCTCCCTGTAAGACGAAATTCAAGCAGATGTCGGCAAGGAAAGTGATGTGCACGGTATTCTGGGACAGACGGGGCGATCTCCACGTCGACTTCCTGACCAGAGGTGAGACGGTGAATGCTGAGCGTTACTGTGAAACACTGCAGAAATTGTGACGGACCATTGAGAACAAGCGGCGCAGGATGCTTGGTGCCGGTATTGTCTTCCTGCACGATAACGCTAGGTCGCACACGGCTCGACGGACAGCAAGTCTCCTGCAGGAGTTCAGCTGGGAGGTGTTTAATCATCCACCCTACAGCCCGGACCTCGCTTCCAGTGATTTCCATATTTTCATACACCTCAAGAAATTCTTGTCCGGTGAGAGTCAGCGTTTTGAGAATGACAGAGGCAGAGATAATTGTCACACAGTGGTTCCAATCCCAGGCGGCAGATTTCTACGACACAGGTATTCAAAAGTTGGTCCCATGGTATGACAAATGTCTCAGTTCCAGTGGCAATTATGTTGAAAAATAGCTGAACACTTGCTATATCTGTTGCAATAAATATTTCCATGAAATTGTGTTTTATTTCTGCAAACGGCCCCAGGGAAACTTAATTTGTGGATAAGCCTCGTATTTTTCTCTGTGTTTTCTTCTTGACCAATCTTCTTACTAGAACCAGTTGAAGTTACTGTGTTTTTCTTTATGGTATCTATATTATCACCCAGTAGATTCACATCATCAGCACAGACCAGAAGCTGATTTGTCCCATTTAATTTCAGTGTTACCTGGTTTACCTGGACCTTCATAATGGCATATTCTAAAGCAATGTTGAAAAGCATTGACGATAAAGCATCTTGTTTTAGACCTTTCTGGATAGGAAAATTATCAGACAAAGGTTTATGTATGAGTATGCTGACATCACTAGTGGAAGTTGTGAACTGGGACAATGATAGACTCCTTCCACTGATCAGACAATTCTTCCTTATTCAGAATAGAATTAATTAGCTTATGGATCTTAGAACGTAATATTTCACCTCCTGCAGAACTACAAATTCTTCTAATTTGTCACCAAAATAACTTATTTGTAAAGGAATACAAACAAGAAGAGAAGTTTATGATGGTCCTGAAAGGGGGCAGTTTTGCTGGTCTAGGAAAAAATGTTAGGGAGTGTTGGGCACGAAACCTATGTGTAAGGAGAGAGGTCAAGAGAGTGAGTCGCAGGCATACTGGGGTGGAAGAGGCAGCAGAAGGAAGCCAGGACATCAGGGTGGAGGCTAATGAGTGCCTGAAGAGGGCACATTTTGTGCCCTGATAAGGGCAGAGTTCACAGACCTGCGTGGCCTCGCGGAGAACCCAGATCTGTAATATGTGATGGAGGCTTCCTACAGTCTTTCAGGGAGCATATGAAAGGTTTCCATGACTTGCTCAGAGAGAAGCCATCCTCCCTGTTCATACTCTTGGGATGGAGCTCCATCTCAGTCGCCTCCCTGATGATACAATCCATGTATCTGGTCTTAGTGGAGAGGATGGTGGTGTGGGGTAGCTGGATGCAGTGCCCCAAGTTGATACTGTGCCCTGCCATAGCTGACTTTTCTGGTTGTTCTAGACAGATAGGTTGCTGGTGCCCCTGCAATCTGCTGTCAATCAAATGGCCTGTCTGCCCAACGTAGACCTGACTGCACTCACAGAGTTGCTGTATACTGGTGGCTTTTTGTTGGGCTGGGCAACCCTCAGGTGAGGGTTGAGGGCCCTGAAAATCTGCCAGTTGATATGGCCACTTTGCCTGAAAACGTCCCCCAGAAACACAAACTCTGTATGAGAGCTGTCTTGATCACACAGAGCTCTATCCCTGTGTACCAATATGGAGAGTACAGCATGCCTGTTGGATGAGAGGTGATAAGAGTTTAGGTAGAGACTGGAATGGGTAGGTGTATGGTACAGTTATGGTCCAGAGAGCCATTGGGTCTCCTTTAATATCTATGTCAGGGAAGGGAAGATGGCCATCTCCATCTCCATGGTGAACTGAATGCTCTGGTGGAAACTGTTCAGGTGGTCAAGGAAGTCCCTCAGTCTGTTGGGCCTGTGTGTCCAGATCACAAAAGTGTTGTCCATGTAAGGGAACCAGCAGAGGAGCTTATGAGCAATGATCTCCTCGAAATCCTCCCTCCACGCAGAAGTTGGCGATGATTGGAGATAGTGGTGAGCCCATAGCCATGCCATCAATTTGTTCATAGAACTGGCCAGCGAGACTAAAGTATGAGGCTGTCAGGGCATGGCAGAAGAGACTTAGCAGACTCATGACCTCCCTAATGTGCACCCTGTTGAAGAGTGACACCATATCGAAGCTGACAATTATATCCCATGGTCTGGCACAAAAGGAACCCAGTGTGCAGACAAAGTCTATTGAGTTCTTTGTGTGGCATGGAGATTTGCCAGTATGAGAGCCCAGTAGGCCCAACAGGTGTTTGGTCAAGTGATAAGTGGGGACCCCAATAGTGCTCACAGTAGGCCCCAAGGAAGCCCCTTGCTTGTGTATCTTTGGCAACCCAGGCAGTCTTGGGGAGCTGGAACCCTGTGGTCGAAGTTGCTGGCAGATGTCCTCCAAAACTGAGGATTTCTTCTGGAGAAGCATGGTCTTGTGCTCCATAGACTCAGTGGGGCCCTTCTTCCAATTGTAGTCTGCAGTATCCAGTAATACAGTTGAATTGCCCTTGTGAGCGGAAAGCGCTGTGAGTGCCTCATTGCCTTTCAAGGCCCTAAGGGTCCTCCTCTCCACAACAGTCAGGTTGGCCTTGGGTCTGTGGGAACCTTTTTGGGATCCTGATGGTCTCCTGACACACCTTTCCATCTCTCTCCTCAGGCAGGGTGATATGTTTTTCCAAAATGTCAGTCGGCTTTCAACAGACTACAAGAAATAGAACTCTTAATGACTGACTGAGATGCTCCTAATTTAGTAGTTGCTTCCCTGTGAGAGAGGCTGTTATATGTATGCATCCTTAAGACATAACTTCTGATATTTTTATATGTAGTGAAAAGAACAATCACTATGCAAAGAAATGTAAGATACCAATAGCACTTTTTTCAATTGTGTTCAGAGATACAGTATTTTTAAACAAACTTTATCTTCTTGTATGGGTTAACATAAAGATCGACCCCTGAATCTTGATGGGGCCAGTAGGTCACTTGTGTCCTTGCACAATGCAATTATTTCTTTTTGTTAATCATATGATTACAGGTGGCACTTGGTTATTTGGAAAATGGACACATTGACTGGAGGTGTGGTGGGTCTCTGATCAGCGAGTACTTTGTACTCACGGCTGCACACTGTGCCCCCAGAAAGTAAGTTAAACGTATTTGTCATGTTACCAAGGAGGTGATGGAACATATTGATATATCACATTGTTCTCTGAAACCATTTATTAAATTTAAGGACAGGAGGATAATACTAAAAACATCTTAGAGGCCTAGCTTGTGAACTGAGATAATGCAGAGTTTGCTGATATCTAGTTCTGTTTCCACTGTTAGCCATGTAACAGTATTTACAGTTGATGTGTACAAGTGTGAGATTAAAGGTGTTTCTAAAGATAGATCTTTATCACACAGAATCTGTGAAATGCAGGACAATCATAATCTTCAGTGTGAAATTACATAATGAAGGAACTGTTTACATCCCACTTACCAGTTTATTAAAATTATCTGCTGAACTTCTTAAACAACTGCATGACTTTTTTTATTAGAAGTGAACAGAGCCTATTATACAATATGTTAGCTGTTTCCAGTGAAATAACTTGTTTCTGTCTGGTTTAGACAATTATCTTGCAAAGATATGTGTCATATGTGTTTTAGCATTTAGATGATCATGATGGAAACAGCATGCCGCTTTTAGCAGAGAGTAAAATGGGTAACTGGCTAAATACTGAAACACGTGGAAGCTTGACAGCATTTGTTACATTGATTCATACTGCATTTACTTGACTGACAGCACAGTGTTACAGATCATCTTCATTCGCATGTTTGGCATCCTGTCACTAACACATAAATATGCCCGATCACATTTACGGGGCATGCGATAGCATAGTCGGTTGAGGCACTATGCTACAAGCCGAAAGGCTGCAGGTTCGAGTCCCGATGAGGTCATTGGATTTTTTCAATTGACCTAATCCTTCCAGCCACACTCTGACCCTGGGGTCGACTCAGCCTCTAACAGAAATGAGTACCAGGAATTAATTAAATATTTTTCCTGGGGAGTAAAGCGCGGCCGGCGCATAAGGCTTTCAAACCTACCACCATCTTTGAGACGACTGTCTAGATAATGTGGGACCCTCAGGGTCTCACAACCCTATGGGCCTTCACGGCCTGTTACAGTGATAGCTTTACTTTTTACTGAATGTACATAGGGTCAGTGTTGTTAGGCAGATAGAAATACGTACAGTTGAGCCATTAGTACTTGATCCTAGCCCTTGTGATTTTGAAATTGCTATTGCAAAGTTGAAAAGGTATAAATCACCAGGTAGTGATCAAATTCTGGCAGAAATGATTCAAGCAGGGAATGAAATATTAGTTTCTACGATCCATAAGCTAATTAATTCTGTTTGGAATAAGGAAGAATTGCCTGATCAGTGGCATGAGTCTATTATTGTTCCAGTTCACAAGAAGAGTGATAATACTGACTGTAGTAATTATCAGGGAATGTCACTGCTGCCAACTTCTTACAAAATTTTATCCAGAATTTTTCTCTCATTGTTCAGTCCATATATATATGAAATGATTGGGGATCATCAGTGTGGATTTTGACATAACAGATCAACTGCTGATCAAATATTTGCATTCATCAGATACTGGAGAAAAAGTGGGTGTACAATGAGACAGTACATCACCTACAGGCTTAAAGAAAGCCTATGATTCAGTTAGGAGGGAAGTATTGTACAATATTCCGATAGAGTTTGGGATACACATGACACTACTTAGGCTGATTAAAATGTGTTTAAATGAAACGTATAGTGTTGTCCATATAGGTAAACATTTGTCTGATAATTTTACTATACAGAATGGTCTAAAACAAGGAGATGTTTTGTCGCCACTCCAACTTTGCTTACAAATTGGCCATTAGGAAGGTCCAGGAAAACCAGGTGGGACTGAAATTAAATGGAACACATCAGCTGCTGGTCTGTGCTGATGATGTGGAACTACTTGGTGATAATATGGATACCATAAAGAAAAACACAGTAACTTTAGTTGACTCTAGTAAGGAGACTGGTCTAGAAGTAAACACAGAGAAAAATAAGTATATGTTGCTGTCTTTTCACCAGAATGCAGGGCAAAATCATGACACGAAGAAGAATAACAGATGTTTTGAAAATGTGGCACAGTTTAGATATTTGGGAATGAATACAACAAATCAAAACCTGATTCTGGAGGAAATTAAGAGGAGACTGAACGCAGGTAATGCTCGCTACTATTCAGTCCAGAAACTTTTGTCTTTTTGTCTGCTGTCTAGAAACATAAAAATTAGAATACACAAAACTATAATTTTGCCTGTGGTTCTCTATGGATGTGAAACTTAGTCTCTGACATTAAGGGAGGAACATAGACTGAGGGTGTTTGAGAACAGGGTGCTGAGGAGATTATTTGGACTAAAGAAAGATGAAGTGATGGGAGGTTGGAGAAAACTGCATAATGAGGAACTTCATAACTTGTAGTCTTCTCCAAGTATAATTAGAATGATCAAGTCAAGGAGGATGAGATGGGCAGGGTATGTAGCACGGATGGGGGAGAAGAGGAATGCATATAGAATATTGGTGGGAAAGTCAGAAGGAAAGAAACAACTAGGAAGACCAAGTGTAGGTTGGTGGACAATATTAAAATGGATCTTAGATAGGATGGGATGGTATGGATTGGATTGATCTGGCTAAGGACAGGGACCAGTGGAGGGCTCTTGTGAACATGGTAATGAACCTTTGGGTTTCATAAAATGCTAGGAAGTCCTTGAGTGTCTGAGAATTTGGCAGCTTCTCAAGAGGGGTTCAGCTCCATGAGTGAGTTACAGATCACGCACCATTATCACCACTCCCAGCTGCAACCCTGCATATACTCAAAGGGATGAGTTTGTGCCAGGGAAAAGATGAATTATGGTGAACCAAATTAATCACCACAGTAAATGGTCATCACATATTGCAACAGGATTCAATCATTGATAAAAAAACAGACATTTCATGACATAATACTGTCAGCAACTGTTTGAATTTAAAGTACCAAACTGATAATAAAATGTACTCTGATATATTTTGATTCCCACATTGATGGTCAGAATGGTACTGCTTGCACTGACCTCAGGGTGAGAACCAGTTGACCAGCCAAATTGTTCAGTTAATGGTCACCAAGTATGTGTAATGTAACAGCTGTATAGAGCTCTAACTACAGTGTAAATTACTGGCAATTAATTCATCATTATTCTTTCAGTAATCCACCAACAATTGCACGATTGGGTGATCTAAATCTGAAACTGACCAATGATGGAGCACAACCAATAAATTACTTAGTGGAGGAAGTTATTCAACATCCTCAGTACAAGCCACCTGCCAAGTATAATGACGTTGCTCTCCTCAAGTTGGACCGTCAAGTTGAATTTAGTGAATTCATTCGTCCTGCATGTCTCCATCAAACAGATACCTTCCAGATTAATAAGACCGTTGCCACAGGATGGGGAAGGATAGACTATGGTAAGAGAACAGTTTGCTTTGCAATGGTTATGGCATATGGAAAAAACAAGAAAGTGTATATAATTCTGATGCGAAAGCATTAGAATGTAGCCACTTGGAAGACCAACTAGGGCATGAGGATAATATTAAAATGAATCTTAGGGAATCTGGTTGCGAAGATGGGAAATAGACGGACTTGATTAGGATTATGTCCTTTCATGACAGCAGTTATCAAGCTTTGACTTCTAGAGAGTACAAGTATAAGAAGTGCATAGATATCATGGAATTGAAAAGTAAGTGGAGCAGCCTCCAATGGCATAGTATAAATGGATTCCTGTCTATGAACACACTACAGTTACATGCTGACATAACATTATAAACCTGCCTTTCCCTATAGACCAAGGAAAATCGACAGATGGAGTACACTGCATTTGTTGATAGCACTGGAGAATAAATCCTGTGTATCCTTAGCTTACTTTTCTTCCTTAAGGAAGAAAGTAATCTTATAAGAGCAGCATATTGTCTGTGTTCCTATTTCAGCTTTTTAATTGACTGATTCTTCATGAAACTTTGTATGGACATTTTCCTTTTAGAGGTCACCTCAGCTACATACTTTTTAACTTATACAGCCAGTGGTAATAACATGGTGAAAACACAGATTTGTAGTGAGGGCATCACTAGCACTCCCTAATCTAGGTCCTGATATTAAACATAGTAATATACCTTTCAGAAATATGCATCTTTAATTGATGCTTTTTCCTTTGAGAATATAAAACAACAAAATGTCAGCTGCATGAAAACTGCATTTAGCTTATGGTTTGATAGCCATAGCATGTTACACTCAGAACAGAGATAGACTATGGACATATCAATTGACCTAAGTGTGTGAAAGTGAACAATTAGAAGAATTCCAGTCATGTGAAACTTTTGAGATTATGCCTGACAAATTTTATGTAGGCAAAATACATATGAGGGAGAGTCAGTAAATAGGTCACAAATGGATATAAAACATAAAACATATGATATTTGAACCTGGAAAAAATATTTATTTCTCGACATATCCTCTGCCAACATTGATACACTTGTGCATTGAAACCCACAGCATATAAGCCTTTTGACTGTTGTCTCAGCCACTTCCACACCTCTTCGTAGCCAGCAAAACGTTTGCCATCAAGGTAGAACTGCTTTACATGACAGACACTTCCCACCATAAACAGGAAACATTTCTTTATGAATAAATATCCTTTACGTTGAGTCCTTTTGTTCACGAAAATTTGCACAACAGAACTCCACTATTCAGTAGTATACCCTCAAGCATGCTCGCCATTTTGACTACAGAAACCAATCTCTGAACAATCGCATGTGTGTCTGCTACATAGACTGTCATGAACATCATGAAGCTGGACTGTGCTGCTACGTAGTGACACACATAGAAAACCTATTACATCAATTACAGCTGTTTTACCTCTGTTTATGACCTATTTACTGAAGCCCATGAGCAAAATTTAATTTCATTGCTGGATTATAAACTGACATTGTATAAATATGACAATAAACAATACAAGATCTATAGGGCTTTGGGAGCTCTAGCTAAAAATTAAGGACTAGGTGGCATAATAAACTACATGTTTCCTTTGTGAGATTATCTTCATTCAAAAGAGTGTGCATTTTTCATCCAATAGAATATTTAATAACTTGCCATACAATATATATTCCTTGAAAGACAATATTCATACTTTTAAACAAAGGCTAAAAGATTATCTTATTTTAAATGCATTTTATTCGGTAGATGAATACATGGCATACAGGCAAGCATAATACATTATTGAACTGCTTTCTTCATAGTCACCGCCGTGAAAGCCTCAAATCTTACATAATACATTATTGTTGTCTTTCCAAGATTATGTATTATCTAGATTTGTTATATGACTGCTTTTTATTTTATTATTGTGTTTTTATTTTATAATTCTTGAATATTTTAATTGTTGAGACTAGATTGCATTTTGCAATGTCATTTTGCTGATGAATTCAATATCCAGTCCGGTTTCCGGACAATGGATCTGTGAAATTATGTATCTATGTATGTATGTATGTAAAATGCTTTGTGTAATACACACTGATGTTACCTTTCTTGATGCTGTTCACAGCTGAAAAGAAAAGTGATGTTCTGCTCAAGGTAGTACTCAGCATCATTGATAACAGACAATGCAATGGATTGTATGAGATGGATGGGGTAACCAGAGAACTGAAAGATGGTATTGTACCATCCATGATGTGTGCTGGTGAATTGGAAGGGGGTAAAGACACATGCCAGGTCAGTTGACACATTTCTTATATCAACTGTTAAAACAAGTCAGTCACTACCACGTTTTGGATGAGCTTAGAGAGCTCCTTTGTTGTGTTTCTGTATTATTTGTTTTGTACAAAAGAACCAGAACAGACACTCGTGCTCTCTGCTGTGTACACAGTGTCACAAACATGAATTAAAATGTCATAAAATAACCCTACAAATAAATAAATAGATGAACTACCAAATACATAAATGACTAAAAGTAGGTCTAAGAGGGGCCTGTATCTACACAGCAGTGGAGGATGACGCTGTGAATAGGCCGGTATGTACACTGTGCACTGACAGTGACTGCCCCATGAGAAGTCCGGAGCTTCTAGCTGTAATATGTACAGATGGTGATATCCATATGAGAAAACATTTACAAGGTGATGGTAACTATAAGGAAAGGGTGGTAAATTTTTGGAAGTTTTAGAATCATTTTACAGAAGAAAAAATACTGCTTAAAGGTGATGAGGAAGAATCATATTCATAAGTGGCTATGGCTTCATATGATAAGCCTTTTAATAAGATAAATTCTGAACATGTTTGATTCTCACTTCTTTAGCACTCAGCACACAGAGCAGAGAAAGCTTCCTGGTGGTTAATGAAGACAGAAATGCAAGCTATGTAACTCTGTTTTAGGGAGATTCTGGTGGACCTATCCAGATCACAAGGCACAACAACCAATGCCTCTACAGTATAATAGGCATTACATCATTTGGAAAATTCTGTGCTGCAAAGAATGCTCCAGGAGTATACACCAGAGTATCATCTTTTGTACCATGGATTGAAAGTATTGTATGGCCTGAGTAATATCTGGATGTGATTTGATACTTAACCTATGTGAATATATTTCAGTGTGCTGTACAATAAAGTGGATTGTTTACTCATACTGCAATCCCAAAAATCATACAGATGTTTGTTTGTACAGGATATCAGATTCCAATTAATGCCCAGTGAATCTGGTTATAATACCCACAACTCATGTATGTGTCCAGTGCATGTAGTCCACAGATTCTTAATATTCTACAGTTTTTAGGACTTTCCTTGAGCATAATTTCTGTCATAATGTTACATACAGGCAGAAGCACCAATCCTTGCATTCTCTCTACCTAGATGGAGCTGAGCCCTTCTTGAGAAGCTGCCAGTTGTGCAGCTACTCAAGAATTTCCCAACATTTTATGGAACCTGAAGTTTCAATACTGTGCTCACAAGAGCCCTCCACAGGTCCCTGTCCCGATGCAGATCAATCCAGTCCATATCACCCCATCCTGTCTCTCTAAGATCCATTTTAATATTATCCACCCACATACACGGTGTGTCCAGGATCCATTAGGACTATTTTTTTTTAATTTTGTCCTGCAATTCCATCTGTTGGCGAGTTGTGGCGTTAAGATTCTTGAAGTTTCAGCTGTGGCTGTCTATAACTTCAAAGCTCAAGCATCGCTGCATCATGTGTTCTCACCTTGAATGTAACAGTACTGTTCTGACCGTTCTGACACTCGTTGGAAAATCGTGGTTGAACAGATAGCCAACATCAAATTTTGTTTGAAGTTAGGCAAAACAGCCGGAGAAGCATACGAAGTGATGAAAAGTGTGTATGGTAGTGATTGTTTGAGTCACCTGAACACTTCGATGGTATGCTGTATTTCATGACGGCAGGGAGGACATTGAAGATGCTCCACGTGCATCAAAGTCAAGAACAAGTCGCACTAAAGAAAATGTGAAAAAAGTGACCGAAATCCTTGCATCAGACAGGTATGTTTCTGCAAGACTCATCAAGGAGCTTTTGGGAATACCAAAAAGTACTGTGCCTCAAGTTTTGACTGAGGATTTGGGCAAACAGAAGGTCTGTGCACAGTTTGTACCGCAAGCGCTGAAAAACATGAAAGAGTTAAACATTGCAAAAACATGTTACGGTCGGCTCAAAGTGATACAAAATCGATTGTTATTGGTGACGAGACATGGTGTTTTCAATATGAGCCTCTCATAAAGCGGCAGAGTGCAGTGTGGTTGAACCAAAAGAAGCCAGCCAAAACCAAAGAAAGTGCGCATGCAAAAGAGTCTAGTAGAAACACTGCTAACCGTTTTCTTTGATTCCAAAGGAATCATTCACAAAGAATTTCTGCCAGAAGTCAAACAGTGAATTCTGATTATTATCTCAGAGTCCTCAATTGTTTGTGGGCGAGAATTCTTCGAATTCCATCTGAATATCGAGAGCAAGGTTCCTGGTCGCTCCTCCACGACAATGCCCGACCCCACAAATCGAAGGTCATGCGCGATATTTTCGCCAGAAAACGGATCAGTCTTTGATCATCCTCCATATTTCCCAGATTTGGCTCCAGCAGATTTCTGGTTGTTCCAAAAAGTTAAGTTGGCGATGAAAGGAGACCGTCACGACACCATCCAGGACACCCAAAGGGAATCTACCGCAGTTTTAAATGTGATTTCACAAAAGGAGTACAGTGACTGTTTTCAAAAACTTTTCAATCGATTTAGCAATGTATTGATTCAGAAGGAGGCTATTTTGAAAAACAAAGAGTGACATTTTTAAAATAATTCATGTCTTGTATTTTTACTGAACACAGTCCTAACAGAACCTGGACACACTGTGTATGTCTTGGTCTTAGTAGTGGTCTCTTTCCTTCTGGCTTCCCCACCACTATCCTATATGAATTATGCCCTGCCCATCATAACCTCCTCTAATTATACTTGGCAAAGAGTACATGATATGAAGCTCCTCATTGTACAGTTTTCTCCAACCTCTGTCACTTCACTTCTCTTTGGTCCAAATATTCTCTTCAGCACCCTGTTCTCAAACATCCTCAGTCTGTGTTCCTCCCTTAATGTCAGAGAACAAGTTTCACACCCATACAGAATTATATACGTAGTTTTGTATATTTTAATGTTTATGTTTTTAGACAGCATACAAAAAGAGGAAAGATTCTGGACTGAATGGTAGTAAGCATTACCTGAATTCAATCTCAACTTAGTTTCCTCCTCAATCAAATTTTGATTTCTTACTGTCATTCCCAAATATTTGAAATGTGCCACATAATTAAAAAAAACAAGGTCTGTGAATTATGACTTGAATTGCTTCTGGAACCTTTACCACAATACTTGCACATTGCTTTGAGAATCACTACCACTATTCATACTAATAAGAGTCTGTAGAAAATTTTATAATATGTAGGGCAATCCAAAAGTTACCCAAATTTGAATTTTGCGCATGAATGGTTATGAGTACATTGAAATACCGCTAGGTGTCTCCTCACACATCCTTCTTGAATCAGTGTGGCAAGCAGCGTCGAGTTGAGTGGTTGGGTTTATTGTTGGTGAACGTATTTCCATTGTTGTGTTTCCGTGAGTTTGTGGTTTTGCGATGGCTGACTTGAGAGAGCAGTGTGTCTGTATAAAGTTTTGTTTCAAACTTGGGAAAACTGCTACAGAAGCACACCAAATGTTGAAGCAAGCTTTTGGTGAAAACAGTTTAGGCCAGACACAAACTTACAACTGGTATAAGCGTTTCAAAAATGACCGAACACTGACTGATGATGACGATCGTTCGGGACAATCATCAACGGGCAAAACACCAGAAAATGTCGCGAAAGTTAGGGATCTGATTCTGCAAGATTGTAGACTGACCATCCAAGACCTCTGTAACACCTTGGGACTAAGTTATGGTACATGTCAACGAATTTTGTCAGAGGAACTGAACATGAGGAGGATTGTGGCAAAGTTTGTGCAACGACTGCTGCAAAATGAACAGAAGCAGCATCGCTTGGAAGTCTGCAGGGAACTTCAGCAACAGCTTCAAGAGGATCCAAACTTTCTTTCGAAGGTTGTCACTGGCTACGACCCTGAAAGCGAGCAGCAATCATCGCAATGGAAGAGCCCTTCTTCACCTCGACCAAAATAAGCTCGACAAGTCAAGAGCAACATTACGTCCATGTTGACCTGTTTTTTTTATATTGATGGGATTGTTCATAAGGAGTTCGTCCCTCCTGGTCAGACAGTCAATAAAGAGTTCTATCGTGATGTTCTAAGGCGTTTGAGATAGTACATGAGGAGAAAACGTCCAGAGAAGTGGCGCACGAATGACTGGGTACTCCACCATGACAACGCATGACCACATACGGCTTACATTTGTGCAGGAATTTTTGGCTAAAAACAAGATGGCAGTTGTTCTCCACCCACTGTACTTGCAAGACTTAGCTCCATGCGACTTATTTCTCTTCCCCAAGATGAAAATCAAGTTGAAGGGGCAAAGATTTGATACAGTTGAGAAAATTCAAGTGGAAACGCAGACGGTACTAAACACCCTAACAAAAAAAGACTTCCAGGATGCATTTGAAAAGTGGCAGAAACGCTGGGATCGGTGTATGCGCTCCCAAGGGTGAGCTCCCACCCACTTTGAAGGTAATGGTGCAGAATAAAATCTAGGTAAGATGTAATAGTTTTTATTAATAAATATTTCTGGAACTTTTGGATTGCACCACGTATCATCAGGTGTTGCTCATTAGGTGTGCAGTAGGAAACAGGAACCAAACAAGAAAGTTACATTTTATATGTATTAGCTTCTTTGGAGTTTCACATGTTCAATAAACCATTTACGAACATTACTTTCACACAGCTGATCCACAAACATATCAGAATGGGTCAGTGGCTCTGTACTTGGAAACATTAATATCACGGCTCAGACTGAAGTATCTGGAAACGTTTTCGCAGCATTGGGAGGAGCAAACAGCTATGGTGAAGGCACAGTATGTGACAGGCAGACAGCTACAGTGTGCAGGCATGTACATGGAAAGAACTGGGCATAAATGGTTTCAACATACACAGTTAACTGCTGATAAGGAAAGTAAACAGGAGACAGCTGCTATATCAGTCAGTCAGTCAGAAGAAATTGCATTTGCACTGAATTCCAAACAGAACAGTTTACTGCTTTTTAAAATGTCATCACACTTTTATTTTATGAGTGAGCACAGTAGCTGGCTACAGGATGGATGATTAGGGTTCAATTCCTAGCAGAGGCAAGAATATTGATTTTCAAAATCATCCCAACCAATCAGTTTCCCCAGCAATACAGTTCCATGACATGAAACTGAGAAATCACCCCCTCCAGTGCCAACATTAAGATTGTGTGACTCTCAAGTCCTTAATTAAACAGGGACAACTGTACACACCTCTTTATTCTTTTATTTTTCTACTTTAGACAGAAATATATTAACATACTGCATATTTTGAAAAATCCATCATCATGCAAACATCCAGAACATTAAATTCTGTTAACTTATCTTAGAAGTGTATTTTCCTATACATAACATCTGCATTGCATTTGTTATCACCTTATATGAATTCAGTTTAGTGTGGTAGTGTTCAGAGTGAAAATGCAATCTGGCACCATGCTTTTTACACCAGTGTCATTTCCAACCTTTCTTCAGTGTTGTGTGCACAAAGCACAAATTTTTGTGCTCAATTGGTGGTATGTGGACAAAATATCTTTCAACTTGATGCAGCACTGTGCTCTCTGACAAGTGTAGGCCCAACACCTGCTTACATACCTGTACTGATCGAACTTACCAGTTGTACTCCAACTGACAGCTGGTCTATGATTCTCTGTATTATGTGTGTGTACAGTGCACAATCAACAGCAACATGAATAGCCTGTCAAACATCTTCATATACCACTTTTTCATGCATTTCTGCCCTATCAGATTGTCACAACCTCTTCTTTCACATTAACCCAACCCATGTGTTGTTATCCAACACAGAAATAGGTTCAATTTTCTCCTTTCCCTTACTCATCATACATTAAAGTTTCATCTGTGTGATGGTGATAGGTTTATCATTATCACATTTTATTTTGACATGCAATTTTATCACCATTACATGATGTGCTATAAGTTC